CGGATTCACGGGTCCATCCGTCAAGCCGGTAGTTTAACAACAAATGGAATTAAATTCAAAGAAGAGAAAACGAATTGAAGGACAGCCGCAGACGTGTTCGGTAACGTGCTCTTTAATACGACACTCGGCGTGGGCATGACAATGCCCCCCCCTTTTTCGCGTGGGGCGGAAAGTGACGGGCTTAATGAGGGATTATTCCAGACAGGAAGGAACCCAGCGCATTCATAACTAAGAACAAAGATTGTGTTAGGAACAAACAAGAGGCGCCCTCCCAGAAGTAACTGGGTGATTGGTTTATGCGTTATTAATAAAAAGATGGAAAAATGTTTATATTGGTGCTCGCTAATGACTATATGTACAAGACTGCTGTAATTAAAATTATAAATTAACATATTCAGAGTGCTTGTTTAATCACTGTGGGTCCTAGTCACAGGGAAAAGACTTATGTACCTGCATGCAAAACAATGTATGTTTGCAACCCAGCAGCCAACGGCCCATACGTTTTACTCTGGATTCAGAGAAAAGAGCCCAATGCACCGCTAATTACTTGCTTCATGGGAGATGGGCGCGTCTGAGCTCGGGGTGCAGAGGTCGACTTATGACTGGCAAAGGGAAGGGAACGTTGTCCCTCTAGGAATGGATCTCCAGAAGAAATTTCTCTTTAAAAAAAATAGGTTTAAAGTGTGCTTAATTTGCAAAGGAAGTGCACAGATTTCCTAGATTAAAAGGGTAATTTTCAAGTATAACCAGGACTCTAAGAGGGTCCAGCCCATGAGCTCATTACCCTGGGACCCTCAGAAGCAACTGCAGAGCCACCAACGCCATCCCTTGAAGATTTTGCGAGAGAGAGAGAAGCAGCTGCTCCTGGGAGAGCCCACGTCCCAGCCTGGGCCACTCTGGCTTATTCATTTCTCCCCTAAATATATGAATACGCTCTTTGTCTAAGAAGTCGATTAATTTGCACATCTCAAGGCTTTCAGAGAATATACGTTTCAAGTTCAACTTTTCAAAGATAGGGAGGTAGTGGGAGGAATCGGAGGGTTTAGGCTCGTTTCCATTCAGTTACCTTCCAGTGGACAGACGTGGCCTCAAGCCCATCACCTGAAACTAGAGTGGAAGCCGCACAGAGCCCCTGGGTGCTGGGTGCAGGGTCCTCCATGCCACAGGACTCACCGCAGCCGGTGAGGGTGATGGTACCATGGCGTTGAGTCGGAAGGATTGTTTCATGGACATGTTCCTTGTTTTACTCTTTCCAGCTCCAGGATGTGTCTGGTCTCTGGGGACAGGCGTGTCTCCCTCCAGTTCCTTTAGTTTGTGTCTGCACAGAGCCATTCTAGATCTTACCTAGAAGGGAGGGCCTGCAGGAACAGGGCTAGAGACCATGGCATGGGAGCTGCAGGTGGGGGACACCTGAAAATGTAGCCCGGAGGAGAGGAGACCCAGGGAGGTCATTCAAATCAACATGAGAAACCAGCTTTTGAAAGAGGCGGCATTTGCCTGGGAGGTACGAGCTGCCCTGTCACTAAGGTAGCAAACTGTTGGACAGACACTTGGGAGAGATGTTACCAGGAATATGTGACTATAGGCTGGATAGTCACACTGATGACTTTTAAATGTTTTGCACCCCCGAGAAGCCAGGGTTTCGGTTCTTCTGTCGCACGGTGGGGGTCCCTCCATCCTCGACTCTACCTCGGGCAAATCTTCAAGCAAGACAAGCTTCTCTTCTTTCTGTTTCGCTCTCCCCAGCCCACAAGCCTGATGCCTCTTGCAATTTTCATTCTCTAGTCCCAAACCATTTATACAAATCGTGCCATTTTTCCTAAAGGAGACAGAATCTTCCTCAGTTATCCACGACCACTAATCCCCCTAACGAGGCATACAAAATAAATAAACATACAGTCTTATCAGAGAATGGTGTTTTGAACAAGCTAGGTACTGCATGGATGCATACATTTGGAACACATACAGATTAAATGTGGGTCGGTTATAGATTAAATATATGAAAATACATGCACAGAGATAATAAAACATAATTTCTTGGAATTTGGGAGTCATTCTCATTGATGGAAAATTTGAAGAAACAAAAGTTACTTGGATGAGATCATTTGAGCCCAGTGAGTTTTGCCAGAATGCAAATAAAACAAAACGACAGGCTCTAGAATTGGACCTGAAGACAGGAAGATCTAGGGGATATTTTATAGCTGAATATGTCTGTACCCTTCTCGACATTTCCTTAAAGAGCAGTAGGAAGCCAAACCTTGTTGGACTGCTGATATTAAAACCTATTTGAAAACACACGAAATGCTCAGTCATTGGGTTATCTACGTAATAATACACGTAATCACATCTGTACTGAATCTAGTCTGTTCTTAAAGAAGCAAAAATGTATACAAAGCATTTCCTACCATGCTCATACTTGACACGTCTTTAAATTTTATAAACGTAGGAGATTCTCATTAATAACAAGTTAATAAGCACACTGCTGCCTATAAAGGCAAAATATAACACAATGGCAACCCGGGAATTCCGGATGGTTGCCTTTGGCAGGAGTGAGTGGACCCAGCGCCACAAAGAAGGTCANGTGGCAACCCGGGAATTCTGGATGGTTGCATTTGGCAGGAGTGAGTGGACCCAGCGCCACAAAGAAGGTCAACGTGGAGGGACCAGGTATTCTGAGCCCCCCAAAGAGGCCTCCTGAATACTTCTAACAACTGTCAGGACACCACTAGGACCTAGGATGGTGGCTGAACCCCGGAGTTTCTCTGCGTCTAATTATATTTCTTATTATGATAACAGTTGCAACTCAGGACTCCTAGGCACCTCTTAAACTTAAGTTTTTGTTGTTGTTGTTGTTTAAAAATGTCAAGGTAAATAGCAATCAGGATCAGTGAGGGAGCAGGAGAAAGCAAAGAAGATAAATATGAAGTCCCAACCAGAGAAGGTGTTGAGTTTTGTGGGTGTTCATGTATAAACAGACAATATATTTTTCATGTCCATTAATAAAGGCTTACCTGCTGCTAACGTCTGTCCTGCTCCCGAAACACTGGTTACACAGCCAACTGAGTTGCAGAGAGAAACGGTGAAGCTGTAGATCGTGTAAGGTTTTAGTCCTGTCACAATATAGGACCGTTGATGGGATTCAGCCCTGGCCAACACCTTCAAGTCAAAACAAACAAATGTCAGACACTAGATAATCAGTTTGAAAACTATAACCTCGGCCGTCAAAGTCCCACAGAAGGAATTCCCACCAATCACTCTTAGGGAAAGAAAAAAAAAGTTGAAGAGTCTCAACAAGCTAGGGTTTAATTGATAATTGTGCAGTCACACTGTTTTATGAGGTGATAATCCGGTTCCTGAGTGGATGAATGAAGAAACCGAGTTACGGCCTCATAAAGCAGCGTGGTGGTATGGTTATTGTCACCGATGGTAGAGATAAAGGATGGTGACACTGTCATTGTTGCCATGAAGAGCTCCAATTAAAGCCGTAGGGCTTGGCCATAGCTAGCCCAGCGCAGCAAGGCCCACATGCTGCTTGGTGGAGATAGTACAGAAATGTCACTGTTAAATCAATCCCATCATTTTCTTTAAAAAAAAAAAAAAAATTAAGGGAAAAAGGTAGACACATTACTGAGCATCCACATGAGGTCAATTCTCAGTTATCTTTCTTATGCAAATAAACACATGCACATTAGGTCGAGCGGTTATATTTTTTTTAAATGTCTTTACCACACAATTTCAGATGAAAACAGCAGATCTGAGGACAGGAGACTGGAAGGAGCTCCCTAGTCCATAAACAAGTAATTAAATAAGCAACACGGAGAGTTGGTCCTGTCTTTATAACTACAGTGGCTCAAAGCATCATGTAAATTTATTAGTCTGTAGATGAAAAGAACCACTGGAAATTATACACAGAAAAAAAGTTATTGAAATGGAGAGTAAGCCAATAAGCATAAATACAAGACTATTTCTTCTATGTAGATATCAAAAAAGTTCTTTCATCAATATAAATAAATTCCTTACATATGAAAACTGGAAAGGGTAGTAACGTGTGGAGTAATTTTCTAGGTATTTTCCCTTTAGGGGTGCAATAAAATTTATGAAACAAAATTATACCAACTTCGTTTTAATATATGTTTATATTAGAAAAAATAAGTTACATCAATAGAAAAGCTTTGTACCTATTACATCACATTACATTATGGAATAAATGCCCCATTTAGGCAACGCACACGGGAGAATTCCGTCCCTGAATTCTGCAAACTCAGATGTCAAAGCGAAGACATAGCTGTGCAAGGACATTAGTTGAGAATATTCATACCTGCGGAAACACCACCGGCATCGACTGCTGAGGGGACTGCTCAGAAACCACACTGATGTCATAGCCCACAACCTTTCCTCTCGCAGCACTGTCCGCCGGCTTCTCCCAGGACACATTGAGAGAATACGGGGAGAGGGGGACGACCGTCGGGGGGGTCATGAGGACAGGCTCTGTCCAGGACAAAACAACAGCAGAGCAATGAAAGCTGTACCGACAGGTTTTTCAAACCGGATCCACATTTTTATTCAAGTTTCTGAAATACCCCTGTTGCGTTTTTTTTTACATAATATTCCGATTTTTAAAAATCAAAGAATATGCTGTTGCGTGTAAGAACTGGTCATTTTTTTCATGTGATCTTCAAGGATGGCCTACAATTTCATATCACCAGCAAAGACATTTTCCATTTACAACATAAAAACCACCTAGGAATTTGATTGTGTTCATAAAGAGAACTGGGTGGGAAACCATAGGTTCTTCTAAAGCATTAGAAAAAGAGAACAGAATAGGTATCAGTCCAGAAAGTTCAGAAGGGTGTGCAGCGACATGCAGGATTTCTCACGTGGAGGAGCATTTCACTGAGCCAAACCAATGCGCCTGGGGGAGTATTATGAAAGAGGTAAGTCTAAAAATCTTCTAAATAACCCCCAAGGAATTTTTTAAGTTTCCAATAAATCTCGGTTGAAATGTGCAAGGTCTATAAATACACATACATTCTCCCCTTGCCATCCTTGGGATCTTAATGTGGATTTTAAATGTGCTAACCGAAGGCGTATCGGCCAAGAACCTCGCCGCACTTTCATTAGCCAGTGACCCATAAGATGATGAGGGTCCGGAGTCGCGGTGTCACCCATCACTTTTCGTTTCTGACCTTGACTTTCCCCTTCCACAGCGCCATGGCTCATCACTTGCGCGATCATGGCTCTATTATGTGTCCAAGACTCCTGGCAGCCATTCAGGAGGCTCAGGCACAACATGCGTTTTATTCATGAAATGATTCCCTCGGACATCAACCCGCGGCTGCCCTTCCCCTCCCCGGTCCTAACGGGCCCAGGGTACATAGGGACTTGGGTTTCTTTGGCTTTCCACGACGTCAAAGCGTAACAAAAGTGTACTTTTAATTTTGTCAAAGACTCATAAAATCTGAAGTTGTTTTTTTTTTTTCATGTAAAGAGTAAGGTGGAGAATTAAAAATATCTCATTTGCCTTAGTAAAGATACATTTAAAAAGTTAAAAATGTTCACGCTCATGGCTCAGCAGCTGAGCACTGACCTAGGATCCAGGAGATCGCAGTTCGAGTCCCGGGCAGGGCACAGGCCCGGGTTGTGGGCTTGATCCCCAGTTGGGGGCGAGCAGGAGGCAGCCGATCAATGACTCTCATCATNCGGGCTTGATCCCCAGTTGGGGGCGAGCAGGAGGCAGCCGATCAGTGACTCTCATCATTGATGTTTCTCTCTCTCTCTCCCTCTCTTTGAAATCAATGAAGACATATTAAAAAAAAAAAAAGAACAACCTCTCTAAAAATAAATAAATAACTGAGAACAATTTGCTTATCAGACCANAATGAAGACATATTAAAAAAAAGAAAGAAAATTATTAAAAAAAAAAAAAGCTCAGCCTCCTTCCTTTCCACATTGCCAACTGCTCATATAAGCACACTTGTGAATTCCTAGATGTGGACATCTAGGAATCTGTCATTAGGTACAATCTAGCAGCTGAACTACTTGTGTTGGAGAGAGAAGTAAGAACATAATCAGATTTGTGACGTTTGTCACAAGTCTCTCCTTCGTGGAACATGCATTGTGCTGAATTTGGGGAAGATGAAAAGAGACGGCCGACCCACTTCAGGACCGGAAGCCAACTGCTATTTTGCAAACATTCCTAAAAGACTGGAACTAGACTGAAGTCGTTTTCCCCCCTTGAAGTAAAACGAAAGCATTTTTTTTCCCCTAAAACTTAACTGCAAGTTCTTTATGACCTTGAGTTATCGATGTAACCAACCGAAGTATTACATTTTCCCCCGGCTTATGGAAGTTTATAATTCCTACTTTAGTTGCTGCTGACGTTAATTCGAGGCAGCATTGTCCCTCAGGAGTTTTCAGAGTAGAATTCAAAGCCTGAGCCTCACCTGACTCCCCCGTTCGCCCCGAGGCCCAGGCGGAGGACACGCTGCCGGCCCCGTTCTCGGCCGAGACTCGGAACCGGTACTCGGTGTGAGGCTCCAGGCCCGCGATGACAGTGGCCGTCGGAGGGGCACCCGCTGGCCTTTCGCCGGCCGGCTCTGCGGAGGGGTGGGGACTGAGGCAGCCGCTGGCCTCAAAAACCCGGCTTCCTGCTGACCTGGGCTCCCCGTCAGAGCCCAGTCTCTCCATGTACAGTTCATACCTTGTAATTATTCCTGGAAAAGTAATAGAGGGGACCAAGGTGACTCGGGGTGGGGTCACATCAGTTCAAGACTGTTGGGTTTTCACTGTTCCCCTGACAAAATGACCTCCCCCTTTCCTTAGTAACACAGAGTATAGGGACTTATAAAAATCAACAGACGGATGAATAGATGAAGGTAGGAAATACGACTAAAAAGCACTTTCACGGGAAAAGCAAGCCAAATGGGAATGTATACAGACACAAAAAAACTATAATTTATGGCAGGTAAATTCATTATTTTTTTCAGGATGAATGGTCATTATTTCTACTAAGAATAGCTATTGCTTTATGGGAATTTAATTGCCATAATTCCAATTTGTATATTTTCAAACTTGGGGATTTTAATTTGGTTATCTATTTCACATAAGCCCTGTTTGTATAAATATTAGAACGTTAGAGTTAATTTCTACCCAGTTTATCAAGTAATTTAAAAAGTCTCAGAAAGAAGGTTTTGCAATAATGCGTACATAATATTAAATTACTAAAAAACTATGAATTTGTGTCTGGCCTATATAACAGGGTTCAATTGTATGAATACAAAAATTAACTTAATGGAGTCAGCTGGCCTATATACATATTTTTTGTATTATTTTATATCTTTTTAGGCCTAAAAGAGAAAATTTACTGCTCATAGGTGCCCTAAACTTTGTGACACAGTCAAATATAATGCATTTCGTGAGTGAGTTTCAAATTAGAAACATAATTTGTGTTGTGGCAGATGTCATTAAGAGCAAAGATAATATTAGCCTTTTAAGGGGCAATTTAAATGAATGGAATTTGTTATTAGATTAAAGAAACACAGTCGTTCTACTCACCAGGACAAACACTATTTTACATCTTTAGAGGTTGTTTCTCAATTATTATATCCTGCAGTTATAAAAATGCATATCATTGCCAGCCTCTCATTGCACGATTCCAAATTCCTTAGACTCTCATTCATGTTTGGCCCAAGAGGGTGGGATCTAGGCCTTGAATGCCTACCATTTGGTTCCTCTGGTGGAGACCATCCTACGTGAAGTTCTGTGGAACTGATCTGCCGCATGGCGGGTGCACCCAGCCCACGGGGAGGTGCCTGGGCTGTGGTCACGGTTATGGGGGAGCTGTGTAAACAGCCCCCACTAGTACACGCCTGCACCGAAAAACGGTACTCGGTGAAGGGAACCAGGTTCCAGATTGTAGCTGAGGTTTCGAGGCCTTCGTGGGGAACACACGGCTGGGTGTCACCTACAGGGGCACAGGACAAAATATACTTGTCTATAGGACCAGCCCGGTCGGAGGGTGCGGCCCAGGTGAGTGTCACCGAGTCGGAGCTGACAGGGATGATGTAACTTAAGTTCAAGCTGCCCTCCGGGACTCCTGGCCTTGTCCTGTAGGTGACAGCTACGCTCCTTGTGGAACCATGCACATTGGTGGTCTCGATGGCATAGGCGTAGGAGGTGTAGGGCGACAGGGCAGTGTCTGAGAAGTGCTGGATGTCTGAAATTAAAAGAAAAAAGAAGAAGAATACGGTTACATTCCACAAAATCAGTAAGGAATCATTTCGACTTGTCTTCCTATTATGTAACTGAACTATATAAACAGTACCAATCCACTTTTTTTTTATTTATCTTCATTGTTGACAGTATTACAGATGTCCCCCTTTTCCCCCATTGGCCCCTTTTACCCTGCACCCCCTTCTCCCCCCACTTTTTATGAATATCCAGCACATGTGAGTGCCGACAGAGGAACAGTTAGGCATCAGAGTGGTTTTAATCCACAGAGTTTCTTGGCTTCCCGAATGGTGACGATGCTGTCTCAAGGGCCAGTGAGCCTGTTAGGGGACCTCCTGTGGCTGGGGCAAGATGACCCTTCAGCCTTGGGAGGCCCAAAGGTTGAATGAAGGACATGGATAACAAACCTCAGGAAGTTCCTAGAAATGTAAAGAGCCTCGGGGAGGCCGAGCTACTTGGGAGCTCACAAGGACCTAAGGGAGCTGAAAAGAAGCTTGTGTCCACCAGCAACATGTATCAGAAGTTGATGCCGTGAGCATGCCAACGGCTGAGTTGTGACCTGCTACACGTCACAAATGAGCCAGCATCCTCTGAAGGATTTGCGGCAGCAAAGGGCCAGAGAGAAACTGCCCTTCCCCCAGTGCCACCATGGTAGTTGGGAGAAGGGATTAACTGAAGACTAAACAACAAGAGTGAATGCCATAGATGAAATGTTTGTCTTTTCCCGAAATTCATGGGGTAGAAACCTAATGCCCAAGGTGATCATGTTAAGAGATGGGGACCTTGGGAAGTTAAGAGGGTGAGCCCATAAATGAGGTTAGTGCCCCTATAAAAGAAGTCCCACGAAGATCTCTTCTACCTTCTACCATGTGGGGACACAGGTAGAAGTCAGCCATCTGCAACCCAGAAGAGGGCCTTCGCCAGACCCTGATCTTGCTGGTACCCTCACGGTGGACTTCTAGCCTCCAGAGCTTGAAGAAATAAATTCCTGTTGTGTATAAGCCACCCAGACTGTGGTATTTTTCTTTTATAGTAGCCTGAGCGGACCAAGCGAACATCTGAGTGAAGGGCAATTTTGCCATTCTTTGTACATGTCATTGCAAATTCTGCATGAAAATAGGTGAGTGTTGCACTGGAGTCCAATCAGGACACAGCAACCACAGAGCAGTTTGGGTCTGAAGCTCTAAACTTAAAAACTACATTATCGTCAAAGCAATCATCTTCTAGTTTCCCTGTGGAAGCAGCTCCCCAGGGTGACATTTAAGGACAATCTCCCTACTCATGGCATTCGGCATGAGAAATGATTTAACTGATTGTG